GTAGGAAATAGTCATCTTTCTGAATGCACCAAAGGTCCCCTGCCTACAGCCAGGAGGTTGAATTGGACTGCTGAGTACTCCTTAACAACTCAAATATTTACAGGAAGTAGACAGAGGAAATTTGCCAACTAAGTGACAGAGCTCTAAAGTGAGCTGAGTATTTATGTGGAGCTGTGGTTTTTATTGACATTTGTATTTGATTTTAAAATGCAGGCTTTTTCCTGCTGGTATTGTGTAATCAACTTCAGATTTCTGATGGGCAAATTTTGTTCAATTGCAGCTGATTGTGAATGTTTAATTAACATTTCTTCATCATTGGTTATAAATCTATTTCTCAAGGTTGATTCTTGCTCCACAGCTATTTCATGTGTTTGGGGAAAGCTGTGAGCATACAAACATGGTGTGACCTTGGAATGCACTATGAAAGTATTCAAACTCTTGAGTTTGTATTTCTGCATGAGCCCCACACAACTGGTGTTAATTGTTGAAAGATTTTAAAACGTGAAACAGGGGAAGGGGTGGGCAGAAAAAATAAATGGTGGTTTACCTGCAAGAGGAAGCTTTAGATTTAAGGTGTGAGTACCCTGTAAAGCTGTTACTGTGATTTGCATTGAAGGGCCGTCACCTAACACCGTTAACATGCTAAGACACACAAATACAGATAGAGTCAGGAAATATTAGACAGACAAACAGCAACAGATTAGTGAAAAACAAAGACAGACAGACCTAAGTGATAAGCAAAAGCTGTACTGATGCTGTAATTTGATTTAGACTGAGACATTTGGGGATTGGAGCACATCGAAAACAAAGCTGAGGATAACAATTCATATGTAGAAGTATTTTACATTACAAATAATGAAGACTTTCCAAAGTTTACTCAGTGACATGGTAGAAAATACTTTTAACATTAAGTATGTCAAACTGCTCGTGAAGCAGATGGGGCTGTCCATTATAATCTCAATCTCACAGCAGTAGCCAGCAGATGTGGCAGGAAGAAAAGTAGGGAGGGAAGACTCTGGAGAGAAATCCGGGCCTTTCCTTCTGTGCATGTATGCCTGGATGATCACACCGATGAGAAATCTACAATTCAACGAGCACTTCATGTGGGCCATGCCTGGAAACCAGCCAGCTGCAGACAGAAATCTTCAAGTATCCACAGTGTGTGTCTTTGTGCATGTCTGCACATCTGTGTGTGCAAGAGACATACAAAAATGTGAGCTAAAGGAAAAGGAGGCCGCCATTTCCTAATGTTTTATTATGTCTTTAGTTTTTTGGGTTTTTTTTTACAGTACTCTTTTAAGATAGCTTTACACTGAAAATATCCCTGCAGACTAACAAGCCAGCACACTGTCATGGTCCATTCATCTATTTTTCCCCACTTCTCCAAATATGGATCAGAGGAGAGAGCAGTCTAGGAAGAGATGACCTCCTCCATTTCAGCTCCTCCACCTCCTCCTCCAGCTTTTCTGGAGGGGAAACCAAAATGTTCTTAAACCAGCTGAGAGATACAGTCACAGTCACAGTCTGTTCTGGGCTGGCTCCAAAGGCCTCCTTCCAGCTCAACATATCTCTAGCATCTCACCCAGGAGACATCCTACTCTGAACCCCGAACCACCTCAACTGAGGTGTCGCACAACATAAAAATTATTAACAGAATCAATGACAAAGGACAGTCCTGGCAGAGTGCACCTGTCACCAGGAATTAGTCTGATTTATTGCCAGCAATGCAATACAAGCTCTCACTACAGCTGAACAGGGGTCAAAGAGCCCATAACACTGAGCCCTTTAACCCATATTTCCGACGCACTGCCCAAAGTATGAACTCAAATGCTTCCTCGAGGTCTACAAAACACATGTAGATTCTTGAGAGGATAAAGAGCTGGTCCACTGATCTACAAACAGAACAGCTGCACAACATCCAGAGCCTTAAGGGACTTCAGGCAAATCAAATCAACCCCAGGGGCCTGGCTGCTGTGGAGTTTTTAATTACCTTGGTGAACTCAGCTACAGCAATGGGCAATTTATTCCCAATACAGAAGGTGCATCAGCAGGATTCAGGGGCTCCTTGAATTATTCTTTCCACCAGCTGACTAGGTTGAGTTCAGCAGCACCTGATCCCAAATGGTTAGGAAACTGCTTCCTAGTCCTGAGTCACCTGATGGGTTGCCACAATCTCCTTGAGGCTAACCAATAGTCTTGTTCCATGTCCACGGTAAATGTCCCTCACATCCAAGTTTTTTGCTTCAGCTACTGCCCTATCCTCAAATCTCCAGAGTTTCACCAGCCAACCAAGTTCCTTTCCCAACCTGTTTTATCATCCTCCCCCACCACCTGATCAACTGACAGTTCAGTTCTTCTCTTGTGAGAATAAAGAACATGTGACCAGCAGAGGTCCAGTAACATAACACCAGCCAGGTTCCGATTGGGCCAGCCTATCGTGGCCCTTTCATGTCACCCAGTAGGTCAATGGCATCCCCAGAAAAGGCAACCTAAACCACCAGTGACTCCAATATGCCCGCGCTCTGAACTCATTCTGCACAAACAACAGTCAAAGCCAGTGCGTTGACCCAAAGATACAGGAAAGCAAGACTCTCATTCACTGGTAAAAATCCCAATGCACCGAGGGCAACTCCAGCACTGAGTAGTCCAGCCCCTCTCCAGAAGACTGGCTCCAGAACTCAAACTCTCCACTCAGGTAAGCCCAACTATATCTAGCTAATATCTCTCAGCCTCATGCACCAGCTTAGGCTCCCTCTCCACCCGAGAGGTGACATTCCATGTATCAAAATCCAGTTTCAGCAACTGGAGATCACAACCACCAAAGCCCTGACTTCTGACTGCTATGGACCCCTATGGCCTTTTCTGTATATGTAGGCCCACATGAGGGCTAGCCCATACGGCACATTCAGGCTAGGCCTTGTGAGATAAGCCCCTCCCCCAGAACTGGATGCAGAGAGTGGCCTCAATAATCCTGTTCTGGGAGCAGTAACGAGGACCATTGTTTTCTTCGTCAAGGGGATCTTATGAATCGCACTTACTCTAGCTTCTCACCTTGGCAGACCCTACCATGGGCAAAACAATACAATTCCTGGGACCACACAGGTTTGCACACCGCTTCACCATGATGAGGTGACACTTCATCGATTTATAGACTCATTTATATGTTTAGGTCTATAAGCATTTAGACAGTGGTACAATATTTGTAATTTTGTACACCACCGCCAGTGAATTTGAAATCAAACTGTTAAGATATGAATAAAATGCAGACTTTCTGTTTTAATTCAAATGGGTTTAATGGCCATTTTAGAAATAGATCTGATTAAAACCTGCACTTTAATCATATCTTGATGGTTTGATTTAAAATTCACTGTGGTGGCGTACAGAGCCAAAGCTCCACAAAAAAATGTGGTCCAAGTATGTTGATCTTATAAAATGACTCCCACCAGAGCAAAACAAGAGACTACAAGAAGCTGCAAAAGTTCTCTTAAACTTAGTCATTTATGCAATGTAAATTAAATAATAGGCTATTCTTTGCAGGTGTGATTGTTTTCGTATGTCTCCTACTGCCGTACCTGACCATTTGAAACACCTCTGACTAAATTCAAATTCTTTTCAATACATGTTTTACCGACATATCACAGTAATACGCCAGTCCATCCAAACACATATTCAAAAATTGAATGCTGACTTAATTCCCTTTCTTTCTTGTATTCTTTCTTTTTTCTTCCTCCTTTTTCTTCAAAACAATAATCCCAATTTGGAGATGTAGTGGTTTCCATGGTGATGAGTGCAAATGGATAATAGGGCAACTGTTAACCTTTGACTGGTTAAAAGCCCCAAGCTGAGGGAGGGGAGGTAGGATAGTGGTGGGGAGTTTGCAAGGAAACACACACACACACGCACGC